GTTCTTTTTTAATATTAATTGTTCAAAAAGCATTTACAAGTTGAGTGTTTGAGGGCATTTGCTAATGTTTGGAAATATGAAAACTCAGGGATTCTGATCTCATCTGAAAAGTACATGCAATGGTGGCTGTTGTAAATGATGCTCACAATAAGTTTTGCCAGTAAATCTGATTTGTCCTGATAATGCACAATACCACCCAAGCCCCAGAGTCTTGGAAGGAAATGATAAAAGAGCCAATTTTTGCAGACTTTTAAATACACAATGCAAAGTCATAGTGCCTACAGCTGTTTTTTCCTGTTCTGTGTTTATGGCATGGCACAAGTTAGCTGCTGTAGAAACATAGCAGGCCTGGTCTTCCTCCCAGCTTTTTCCTGCACTTTACTGACAATACTTCTCTTTGCTGCAGGCAGGAAATGGGCCTGATCCAACTTTGCAGTGAACAAGTATGGAATGCACTATTTAGCCAAGGAATCTAAGTTTCTATTCCTCATTAATTTAGGGAATAGATTGATAAGAGTGCTGAAAGCTATGCAGTCAAAGAGGGAAATAAAGATAATAAAGGAACTTACATATGTCTTCATATTTCTTTATGGCCCTTCAAGCACATTACCCAACTTTCTCCTTTCCAGACCACCATTTCCCTTTTTTTATAAAAATGTCCCAAAGTTTGAAACTGTGCAATCAGAGCCAAGTTGCCAGATTGCGAAGTGGAAAACTACTTATTTTCTTGAAGTGCTAACGGGTGAGGAGGTTGCAGGTGGACTTTATCCGGCCCTAATTCAATCATTTACACTTCTCTTCTCAGGGCAAAACAACAATCCTTGTATAAGGGACATTAAAACTTTGATGGGGAATATGTTTTCCAACTTGAGTCACATTCACACAGAAGTCAACACCTGGAGGCCTGAAAACCTGTGATGAGTAAGGCCGGCCGCAAAATGTGTGCAGCATCCCAGTGCCTGCAGATTGCCTGCCCCTCTGCATTGTGACCTGTGTCCCCAGCCCTTCAACTCAGTGTTTCTTAACCATGGCAATTTAAGACTGAGAAATGCCACCTAAATTTAAATAAACAGAGTAGGCTTCAATTTTAATACAGGAAGAATAATGTAATTCGAAGCCATCAAGAAAGAAAGCACCAATTAAAAACTCCTTGCTCTTTTGAACTGTGCCACCTGACACACTTGCTAGCACACATGTTCCCTAATTAGGTAATGAAACGTTTGTAAGCAAATGACCAAGTTCAGAGAGCACCAACGACTCTTTACAGTTCAACATACATACATTGTCTTCTATTGGTGACTGTCACGCTATTCCAGCATTTGTCTTTACGTTTCTTTTTCCCTCTGAATTTGTTAATTAGAACTAGACTTGTGTGCCTTTTTTCCACATACAATATCAAACTTTTAAGGGTTTATTGAAAGTGCAGATCTAAGGAGGAATGTAAAATGTTTCAGGAGCCAGCCTTTGGAGATGCTGAAGTCAGTATTTCACTGTACAACCAGTGCTATTTTGCTATATATATATATATTTCTTCTGGGGATGCTACTGAGTTCACTCCGTTTCTATTAGTTTTAATCTAGAAGCAGCTTCTTAATAAAATTTAAAACAAAATAATTGTATTGGTATTAAAGATCCCTTGACAGAGTTTAAAAGAGAAAAGAACATTCTTAATTCTCCTAATGGCCACTAACTACATTATTATTCCTGTATTAAAATTGAAGTCGGCACAGTATGTTTACTTAAATTGAGGCAGTGTTTCTCAAACTTAAGTTGCTAAGGCTGAGAAACACTAAATTAAGTTGTTGACTTTGTAGCTTGTTTATTGCTTGCTTGTTGTCTGATGTTACCGTAATATCTGTTTATCTGGTTGTTGATTGCTATTGAGGCAGCTTCCTGGTCTTTTTATTTCCTTTTTAGCTTTTTTAATCCTCTTTTTAATGGTGTGTAAATATTCTTTATCTATATATTCCTGTAATATATAACAATCAAACCAATTCTGACAAGGCAAACTACTGTATATAAACAGAGAGCAAACACTACTCCTTTTTAGCACTGAAGATGTTACCTAGCCAGGTAGTGAAACAGCTACAGAAAACCAAGTCAGAGAGCACCAAGGATTTCAGAGTGACAGCTGTAACTGAATGGATCTAAGCATAGCAAACCATTCAATTTAGTTTTTCAGGTTCCAAGTCAGTGATTTTCAACTTCAGCAACTATAAAATATGTGTACTCCAACTCCCAGAATTCCCTAGCCAGCATGGAGAATTGTGGGAATTAAGAGTTTACACATCTTAAAAGTTGCAGAAGTTGAGAAACTATGTTCTAAGTCAGGGCTGTCAAACTTGCAGCCCATTGGCTGGGTGTTTCACACACTGGCCGCCCCCACGCCTAGTTTAGCGAAGGAAAAAAGTCATGTCACATCAGGATGCCATGATGATGTGAGTTTGACACCATTCTAAGTGATGTGTATCTACAGGGCGGGGCATAACCTTTTCCTAGGGGGTCACAGCAACACTTGTAATAACAACACAAATAATTCATACACCATTCGAAAGCCCATCAAAAACTGAGTTTATTGACACGATTTAATAGTCAGTATGACCACCATTAGCCCTTCAAACAGCATTCAAACGAGGTGGATAAGAACACAACAAATCTTCAAACAGTTCCGTTCGATTTTCCAGATTTTTCAACACAGTTTCCAAATTCATTCTCAAAGTTTCAACCGAATATCGACACCTCATTTTAAAGCCCATAAAAAACTGAATTGAATGAGCTATTAAATGTTAAATTTGTTTCGGTTGAAACTTTGAGAATGAATTTGGAAACTGTGTTGAAAAATCTGGAAAATCGAACGGAACTGTTTGAAGATTTGTTGTGTTCTTATCCACCTCGTTTGAATGCTGTTTGAAGGGCTAATGGTGGTCATACTGACTATTAAATCGTGTCAATAAACTCAGTTTTTGATGGGCTTTCGAATGGTGTATGAATTATTTGTGTTGTTATTACAAGTGTTGCTGTGACCCCCTAGGAAAAGGTTATGCCCCACCCTGTACAAAAGGGTAGCTTTGTGCTCTCTGAGCTGGGTTGCTTTCTTGCAGATGCTTCATTACCCATCTAGGTAATATCATCAGGGCTGGGAGGAAGTAGGATATTCTCTCTGTTTATCTGGTTGGTCAGTTTTGGTGGGAGTGTTCATGGTGGCTCCTTGATTGGGAGCCACATTGGGAGTAAACAGTTGCTTACTGTTAACTAACTTATTGGCTGGTGAATTAGCCACACTCACTCAATAGGCAAGAACATGAGAAAAAAATGAACAGGAAGAGAAAAGTAGCTGAGAGAAATTACATTCAATTTTAGGTGAAAACAAAAACAGCCGTTCTAGTCTAAAGTTTGGAACCATTTACAGCCTAAAAGCTTAAATTACCTTGTTATAAACATAACATAGGATTTTGTAAAACACAGTTGAAAGTCCTTCTCTTTTGTTGTAAAACTTAGCTGAAACTTTGTGCATTTTTTTAAAGGCAGGTTTCACAACAGGGAGTAATTTTAAAAAAATGCGCTTACAAACTGTTCTGAGAGCTTTTCGAAGTGAAAAAATATGGAAAATTAGTAAACCATATTAGACTACAATCACAAGTTTATCCTGTGCCTTTTTGGACCTTTATAGGTGCTTCCAAAAATCTCATAAAGACACAGTAGCTGACGTGTGCTTTGTTTAATTGTACTAACTGTACAAACAAGAGTATAGCATTTCCATAATTCCCACTTGAAAATAGTAGAAAACATGCTGGCATTTTCATAAATACAGTTCCGGGGTTAATAAATAGATCAATAGGACTGCATGAAACTTTGGGGCCTGATTTAAAATTAATCTATTTCATCTCTGTCGGTGCATTAAGAACATCAGCTATGACCTGAAGGCCAAAATGGTACATCAAGCTAATTCCAGACTAGAATTCCCCAAAAATTTACTGAACTTCTGGAATGAAGATTTAGAATAGCTTTATTGGATTGATGACAAGCTCACAGAACATCCTGTTCTCCAATAGGAGCAATTTTATGCATTATCCTGGCACAGACTAATATCCTTATTATTATAGGAAATATGTAACAGTACAAAGCAGAAATAGAGCAAAATCTGCTTCCATTTTGAGACTGTTTAAAACATTTTGTCCGTCTAATCTAGGACAACTATCAACAAAAAGGACAATGTTAAGAGTCTTCATAAATTCCTTAATTACTGATATGGTTGACCTAGCACACTCTGCCATGATTTGCTAAATAAACTATTGGCTGGGTTTGAAGAGCACAGTAAACCATAGGTCATCCATCCCCCCTTTTCATAACTTTTCAAACAACACACTAACCTAAGCCAAACAAATCACATTGTCTTTTATAGCAATATGTCTCAACCTTAGTAAATTTAAGATCTTTGGACTCTCAGAATTTCTCAGCATGGTGGCTGGGGAATTTTGGGAATTGGACTTGAGATATATTAAATCTGCTATGGTTGAAAACACGGCTTTGTGGTAATGTGTGAAGGCAACCTCTGACCATTCTCATGTTTCTATGACCAAAACAAAAATATTTCTACCCATGTTCTATTGCTGAGTAAAAGGAGGGGGTGTTAAAAAAAAATCCATCTCAGATGACACAAAAACAAACTGAACCATTTTACTTTTAGTAGATCCATGGTCGTTCAGATTCCATAAATAGCTGAAGTTTTGATGTATGGTTTAAAAGCCCATAGAGGCAATAAGGATACAATTGAATTTATTAGATGCACCAAGTGGCTGGATTTTTGTTCTTTTAATTTCTTTAATATCTAAAATGCAAAGTCTGTACGATTGTGCAGAATTAAGACGCTTCATAGAGATGCTGCCTTTCTACCAGGTACTTTATTTGTTAAAGAAGAGAAAATGATTTTTTTCTGCTCAGCTTCCTTATAATCAATAAAGGAAGCCTAATTAATTCCTTTAATGTTACAATCTTTTTACTAGATTTTACTAGATTTGTGAAAATGTAAAAATTCATAGCAAAATCTAAATAAATTGGACTTGAAATTAAAACATTGTGAAATTTAAATTTGACTTGATTTATCATTTATAGAGAATAAATTCAAAAATGAGTGGAAAGTCGCATAAAAGTATTCCCTTTCATTGGTTCTTTTTTAAAAAAGCACTTCTAATGCATGATTTCCCCCAATATGTTTGGAGATAAAATGCTTAGGCAAAAAAGAGGGGACAGTTTCTTCTCACAAAAGGCTTTGTGTCTGTGGACTAGCAAAGGTTTAATGCCCAACTCCTCCTTATTCATATTTTGTATTCAACCCTAAAGTACTCAAGCCACATTGAACAATTTTAATTTTCCTGCAGAAGGGAAATTCTATACCAAAAGAAAATGCAGTAATTACAGCTATTTTTTATTATAGATCTACTAATAAAAAGGCTCCAATCAATCAATGTTTCTCTCAATTTAATTGATGACAGCAGGAGAGGCATTGAGGCTACCGTCAAAAACTGCAAATGATTTTAATCTACCACTAAACAAAGGAGGAAAGCTGCAGAGATGAAGCAGAACAACTGCTGCCATAAGCAGCAATAATTAACCACATTGGGTTTTACATTGGGTTGGACAGGAAAGGGAAGTGTCTCCAATATGTATGAGAAAGTACATTAAGAAGAGGCTGCTATATTAGGAAGACTTTCTTGTCATCGGGCATCTGCTAGCAGGCAGCAATCTCCAGTCTTTCTCTGTCACAGAGCAAGCAGTCTTTCCATGGCAGTAGGAACCACTAGTACCTCTCCCCCAGAAGATGGGGGAAGTAGGCATCATCCGCTCTCTTCAAAAAACAGATGCTAGTCCAACCATACAATTTGTCCCATTCCCCTCTAAGGAAACATGTATATATATATTTTAAAAAGGGACAAATGGAATAAGCCTTGGCTCGGAGAACACAACTGTCCTTGCTGCTCAGGGTCCAATGAGTTTTTTGAGAAAAGCTTCTAATTGATCTTCATCTTTGATTCCCACAAACTTATCCACCACATCACCATTCTTCATGCCTAAGACAGTGGGTACAGCTGACACCTAAGAACAAGAGCACAAAAGAAAAGGCATAAGCACAATAATAGCTAAGCTCCACTGACCTGTGAACGTTTTCGAGAGGCAAAGCAAACATTAAAACAAAGGATTTATTGAAAGGTGAATGATTAATTCTTCCTGTTAGAAAGTTCCCTGAAATTTTAGCAGTATTGAACTTCATTTTAGAAAATGTCTTTATGTCAAGACTTCTACGTAAAGGAATAAAAATATTCTAACTTGGAGATATTAGTAAATCCATCCCAGCTTGGTCATTCTAACCACCAACTTTTCCCCAAGTTGGTGCTATCTAGATTTGTGGTCACCTGGCACAGGCCGAAAGTTGCAGCACAAGACACCTGAAAAGGCCAACCAGGGGAAGATTCTTTCCTAGAGGACCAGTAAGCCTGATTTTCAATGTTCAAATCAAGTTTATGCTATTTACTAAGCACAAAGAGACCTTTCAAGTAAAAAAAATGATGTATTTTTCAGAGTAGTAAAACTGACTAATTTTAAAAATACATAGCTTTTCCACAACTGGAATGAATAGTATTTAAAACTGCTGAGTAAAGGTGAGAAAGGCTAAAACTTTATTTCAGTCTAAAGGGACATCATCGCTCTTTGAAATGAAGCTCTTCAAAAGAGATGAGGAGGCAGCCTGCTTTTGTGATATGGTATGTGTAGGTGTAGAGAAACATGCTTGCCTGTTACTTCTGAATTTTATCACAAGTCCTGGCATCCCAAGTGCAGAGTGTCACGGAGCTTATTGAACGGATAAAGGCTAAGGAAGATAATCTCTGACAGTTATGATTAAATAAGATTTTAAGCAGCTCCTTCTTCACTCCTTGGCTATTTCTGGACCAAAATTGCCATTTTTGATTCAGCAACTAATACTGTTATATATAGCAACAATTCTGGAAACATTGCTACTATACCAAGCAATTTTTCTTCACTTTTCCCTGATAGTGGTTTTATCTCGTACCAAACAGAGATATTTCCCTCTCTATTTGTCTCATGTGTTTTCATACAATCTGATGAAAAAGAACTTGCCTTGGAAATTCTTTAAAAAGGAAGATTTGAAGAAATTCTCACAGATGCAATACAGCGTTCTTTCATTGATTGAGCTTAAAAAATAGCTAAGGGACTTGTGTATAATGTCTTGTCTTTCACTGTACAATCATCTCTCTGGTGATTTACAGCTATTCTGGCTTCCCACACTTCAATTCAATCCCAAGGGAAAACATCATGCCGGAACTTCCTCCCACTGCATTTTCAGAAATCGTGCTATCACCACAAAGGGGGAGTCATATCTTGAGCAATCCTCTGGGAATTTATTCTTTGCCCTGGAAAAGTCCAGAGAAATTATCCATCCAATTTTTTTTTTTCTGCCTGTGATTTTAAAGACAATTTTGGAGAATTTCATTTTAATGATGTACACAAAAGAGTCGGGAGAAAATGAATCTAGGCAGGTCTTCAGAAGCATGACAACAGTATCAACTTTAAAAACAAGAGTGTGAAATCAGACACAAACCTTATTTGCACACTTCTGCTTCTCACAGGGAAGATCTGAGCACTGAGGCCTATCATATCCTGTACTATTCTTGTTCTCAGCTAGTCAAACACACACTAGTTTCAACAGCTAGCAAAAAAAACAACAACACGTAGCTCCAAATATTTCATGCATGCATGAACGGATTTGTTATGTATTTAAATTTCTGCACTTCTGCAGGACAATGCTAAATAGCCATACAAGGCAGCCAAATAACAATGTTGATTTTCTCCCTCTCTCTTGCAAACCCCAAATCTTAATGGTCTATCAATATCAACGTCTTATTACCAATGAGACAAACAGTAAGATAATTGCCCAAGGAGCTGCCACAGAGTGTAAATTGGGAAAGTTTGAAAACCACATGCTAGCCCCCCCCCCCCCCAAAACTATAAGCCAGGCCTTTATGCGTGCAGAGAATGATTTGAAGGAATCTATAAAAATGTCAGAAGGGGATGATACATTCCACAGCTCCTCTGACACCCTTATCTTAGACAGCAGGTCATGTCCCATCTTTATCTTATATGCTATTCTTCCCTGGAATGCGCTCTCTCATCAAATATGCATTCAGCTGCCCTGCATCTTGCTGCCATCAGCAATCTGTCATGCACAAACCCCAGACTCAAAGGCCTGCTTTTACTAGTCTCTGCTTTTCCTCTGTTGCTGGCCAATGCAAGCAGATTTCTTAAGGGTGCCACACCCCATGGTAATCCAGGATGGGTTAAAAAAAGGAATACAAACTCCCACTCTGTTTAACAGTCAAATCACTCAGTTTTGTCTGATGTCCTTCAGTGCCCTCTAGGGCTCAGCTCTAATACTTCAAACAGCCTTCGAAATGCATCCCAGTGCACCCCACTCCCTTCTGGCAAGAGTTTTAACTATTCTAATTATGTTCATTTTTATCTCTGTAATTTTGGGGCCAAATAAAATAGAAGAGGTTGAGGCGAGGACTCGGCACTCCTTTTGCCAAATTCCCATTTCATTTGCAGAGGGAGAATCGGGCTTTTTACAAAAAAAAAAAACCTGTTCCAAAGTCACATAAGAAAACTGGTGGCTCAGCTTTGACAGTAGAATGGAGGAACCGTTTTTCTGAGCTGCATCTTAAAACTATTCAGTTTCTGAGCACAGATCAATATAGATCAGCAGCAGTCAGTCCAATTGCTTGGTATCCAACCAAGACCCTCTCAGCCTCTGTAATTAAATTGTTGGTAAGCCTTAAAAAATAAGTTGAAGTAGAAGGCAGTAGTCAAAAGCAGGAATACAGCAATGGCAAAATTAAAACTATATATTCACAATAGGTGTGAATGACAGATTTTATTTTCCTGGACTCCAAGATCACCGCAGATGGGGACTACAGACAAGAAATTAAAAGATGCTTGCTCCTGGAGAGGAAACCTATGGCAAATCTAGACAGCATGCTAAAAAGCAGAGACATCACCCTGCCAACAAAAGTGTATATAGTCAAGGTTATGGTTTTCCCAGTTGCAATGTATGGCTGTGAAAGTTGGACCATAAGAAAGGCCAAAGAATTGAGGCCTTTGAAGTATGGTGCTGGAGAAGACTCCTGCTGGTTCCTTGGACTGCAAGGCAATCAAACTGGTCAGTCCTAGAGGAGATCAACCTTGTCTTCTCTTTAGAAAGCCAGATCCTGAAGATGAAACTCAAATACTTTGGCCACAAGATGAGAAGAAAGAACTCACTGGAGAAGAACCTAATGCTGGGAAAGATTGAGGGCAAAAGAAGAAGGGGACGACAGAGAATGAGGTGGCTGAATGGAGTAACCGAAGCAGTAGGCGTGAGCTTAAATGGACTCCAGAGGATGGTAGAGGACAGGAAGGTTTGGAGGAATGTTGTCCATGGGGTCGCGATGGATCAGACACAACTTTGCAACTTACAACAATTCACAATAGAATGTAAGCAAGATTAGTAGTTAATGTGCTGGTCTAAGTACCTGTCCCACTTTAGGATTGAAAGCAGCTGGATGACTTTGGACCAATAACTCACTTTTAGCCCAACCCACTTCACAATCCTGTGGTTGGGGTGAGAGGGAATAAGAGGAAGAAAGACTATTATGTTCACCATCTTGTAAAAATAATAAAGGTGGGATAACTACCTAAAAGGTAAATTTTGATTAAAAATTATGTGTGGCCGCTAGTTTGTCTCCTAAGAGAGCCTAAATATTTAGAAAAACCACAAATTAGTAGATGCCCCAAAAGGAGAGAGTCAGAAACCAAGTGGCCTTTTGTTCCTTTTCTTTTAAAACTTGTTCTTGTCTTTTTGTTGCTGTTTAATTTGGTTTATTGTTTTTTAACAGAACAAACAATAAATAACAATATAGTGGAGACAGCATTAAGTGTTTAGCTTAAGGCAGAAATATTTTGATGTAATTTGCAGCAGTTTACTAATGGTCTTAGCTTTGGATGTAAAATTTAAACAACCTTATGCTTATTAAAATAATTTCAAATAATAGTTAACACTGACATGGGTCTCTTTTCCTCTATCCTTAAAAGTCATTATCATTAGATCAATTTAATAATCTCTAGTCAATACATAGAATAATATTATAAAATGTATTTTAAAAAAAGAACTCTAAAAGGGTCGTGGCGTATTTGGTATTGGGCCATGTGAGCAGGCCAGTGGACACTCGCAAACATGCATGCTAGCCCATCATTCAGGCTGGGCCCCCGCTTGCACAAGAACTGCATGCATGCGCGTGCTGGGCCTCCACCTGCACAAGGACTTCTTGCGAATATGCACATCGACCCAATTTCCCTCTACCCTCCCCAAGCCAGGCTGCCAAGTTGCAAAGGTTGGGGACCACTGCTCTCAAAAACAGGGATGACAACAGAAGAGGATCCATCCTTTATCAAATGGCAAATACTCCCTAGCCCAGCCTTCCCTAGTCAAGTACTAGACACTCTCTTAAAATCGCCAGGATTCTTAGCTAGGAATACCTATTTGGCATTAAGAGAGCCATAGTGGGAACTTTGTGAGGCTGGCTGTGGTGAAAATGGGACATCCAAAACATCCAAGAACATGCAATGTAGCAATTCAAACCCGATTCTTGCCAATCCAAGTTCAACATTTTGACCTGTATATCACACTGTTTTTAACAATGGAAGAAATATCATGTATATGAAAAAATAGTGGAAGTGGGGAACATCTCTCCTAAAGCTATTTCAACTGCAATTTTCAAAATCTCCATCTGGCTGGGTGTTATAGTTTACTCTAGAGCAAAGGTATCAAACTGGATTTCTTCGAGGGCTGGATCAGCACTGTAGCACACCAGCACTTTGCTGGCCAAAATGGGGTGTGGGGGGCCCATGTGAGGCCCCTCCCGTGCCACATTCTCACCCTGCACAGCTTCCTGCAGCACTTTGCTGGCCAAAACAGGACATGGGGGGGAGGGGCTGCATGAGGTCCCCACATGCCCCATTTTGGCTGCCAGAGGCACAGTGGGCCAGTCCTTTGCTATTTCCAGCCAGCCCCATGGGCCAAATTTAAGCATCCTGTGGGCTGGATGCGGCCTGCGGGCCTGGAGTTTGACACCTCTGTTCTGGAGGACGCTAATATGTTTCCTTTTAATATGTCTAGGGTTATTATGCAGGCTAATGGGGTTTCACATTTTTTTCATAAAAATTCCGAAACCATGTTTTTCTTTAACCCACTCTTTTAACCCACTCTTAACCCGCTATGGTTGTTTAATTCACACCATCTGGACATGACACACTTATTGTTGCTCTATTACTGTTGTTCCTGAGGAACTGGACAGAACCCTAGAGGGTATGGGTGTAAGCACCTGTGTTTTAGATACCTGGCTTGTGAAAGCTTCCCAGGAGGTGACATGTGGTTGGGTTCTAGTGGTGAGTAATGCTTTTCTGTGGGAGGGTGTGATGGCCCAGCTTTTAAGGAGGCTGTGGTCTGTCCTCTTATTAAAACCCCACTCTATTGGGTAATTTTCATCCTGTGTCCAATCTCTCCTTTTTGGAGGTTGTTGAGAAGGTGGTTGCATGGAAGCTCCTGAGGTTTCTGGATGAAATGGATTATTTGGACCCTTTACAGTCAGGGTTCAGGCCTAGGTACGAAATGGAAATGGCACTGGTTGTGCTTTTTGATGATCTCTGGTAGGAGTGGGATAGGGGTTGTGTGTCTATCCTTGCTAAGCTGCTGGGCAAGATCATCTGCTGCCATGGGTTGAGATACCATCAATATGGTGATGACACCTAGCTGTATGTCTCAGCTCATGGAGAGTTAGGTGATGCTGTGACTTCCCTCTTGCAGTGTCTGGATGGGGAGCAACAGGCTGAAATTGAAACCTGGCAAGACCGAATGGCTCTGGGCTTGGGATTCTTTGCTCCATAAAAAATTGTCATCTCTGGTGTTGCATGGGGTGGCACTGCCCCAAGGAGACCTATGTGTCATCTGGGGGTTGTCCTGGACTCAGGACTCCTGTTTGAAGAAGTGGCAATCACGGCCAGCAGGGCAACCTGCAGTTGTGTCCTTTCCTGGACAAACAATCACTGCTCACAGTTTTTCATGCCCTAGTTACCTTCCGTATTGACTATTGCAACAACACTCTACATGGAACAGCCCTTGGAAAGCATCCAGGAGCATCAATTCAAAATGTGGTGGTCTGTGTGGTTTTGCACAAGCCTAGATTTGCACAAGTGTACCTCTCTTGTGGGAGCTCTTTTAGCTGCCAATTTGCTTCTGGGTCCAATTCAAGGTGCTGGTTGTCACTTCACAGCCTTATTGGGCTGGAACTAAGTTATTTGAAATACTGTCTTTTTCCAGTTATGCCTTACCCACAAGAGTAGGGAGGCATGGAATGCTACGGATCCACTCCCCACCCCCCAAGGTGGTCCATCTAGTGATATCAAGAAACAGGGTCTGCTTCATGGTAGCTCCCTCCATCATCATCCATGCAGATTCAAGACTGGCTCCCACTTTGACCCTCTTTTGCAATGCCCTAAAGACATGGCTCTACCAATGGGCCTGGAAATCCCAGAGTGATATGGAGCCCATCAAGAGGCTTGTTTAGTGTTGTTTCCAGTGGGGGATTATTGTTTTTGGTTGGGTGGCCATATACATTTTCTTAAATAAACAAATTTTCCACTTTGTTCTTTTTCACCTGCACTCCAATCTGGTCAGCCATTCTCAGAGAGTTATCAGCCTTAGTATAGGATTGAACAAATTGGAAAGCATAGCAGAAATTGGAAAGATGGAAACATGTCAGTACAAGAAAAAAGTTCAAGGCAAGGTGGCTACAGGCTGAGGCTGGTCCCTCTTCCTACCTTTGCAGCAACCTTTGATGGGCTCTTATTGCAAGAAGCCCTCCCTTAAAGAGGGAAAGGGCATTATAAATCATAGGCCAAGGAAAAAATAGTTAAAAAAATAAATCTGCAGGAAATCAAAGGTCTCTTCACTCAGAATGGTTCTGACAACATAGCAGAGAAAGGGCCCTGTTCCTAGGTGCTCAAACTCCTTCCCAAATTGGAAACTAGACAATAAAACTTTGCTTTGCAACATATCTAGGAAGAATCCTTGCAGGGTTTTTTTTTTTTAGATCAGGAAAGAGTTCATGGATGGTTGCCCCTCTGGGACAACTTGGAGCCAGGAGCAAGCCAGGACTTATGTGAAGAATGCACAAGCATTCCAAGCATACAGAGGGGGAGTCTCTCACTCTCTTGCTCTCTTCTAAAGAATGTGCTCCAGAGAGGGTATTGTGAAATGCTTGGGCCTAGATATCAGCTGTCTTGTAAACAGAAGTGGGTTGGGGCAGCAAAGAGGAGTGGGAAGTTTACTGGCAATTTGTTGACAATCCACAGCATTGTAAAGGGAATTTTGAAAAGCCTTAGCAGGAGGAAATGATTTAGGATCTTAAGAACTCAATCAGAGGGATCTGCCTGATGAAACTGCGTTGCAGTCATGGATCGCTTGCATCAGGTTCAGCATATACTGCTCGCTTTCACTGGTACTAACTTTTCAAGTTTTTAAGTAGCTCGGTCTCCTTCTCTCTCCATGTAATGAAAATATTGGGATATAAGCCCAGACCTTCTGCATACCACTGAGCTGTATGTTTATCTCTCAGTGGGGTGCAACTAGTGAATCTAAATTTCCATCTTGTTTTTTTATGTCTTCTGCATTTTTTTTAACTTTTACAACAAGATAAACAAAATATAGAAATACATGGGTTCTTCAGGTGGAAACTGTGGTGAAGTCCTGCTGCTCATAAATATTGAATCAAGATTTGTAAAGCAAATTTATTTTATTGCTCCCTCCCCCCCTTCTGAAGGAGTTGATATGTCTTATTGTTTTCTACAGATGGATTTTTTATAAAGATTATGGATCTTTTATCAGAGGTTATTATAAACTCTTCCTTGCCCAATCCTTAATAGTAGAGGTGAGGGGTCTACTGAGTTGAGTTTAACTGATGGAAATTTCAGACGTGTTCATGGAGTATTCTTGGCCATGGGACAGAGGTTGGATTCTGTGGCCTTCTTTCAGCATCATTTTTGATCTCCCAATCTCCTAGTCTTTGGCACTGATATTTCCTTGGTAATCTTCCATCAAATATTAACCTGGTGCAAATTAATTTAGTTTCCAAATCCAGACAAGGTCAGCCAGAGCTTTATTAAAGCTAAAGTCTCATTTGGACCAAGCTTGTTTCCTGGTGACTTCATGGAAAATGTGAAGGGTTTTTTTTTGGGGGGGGTGTTGTTTATTTGCAGCAATGGGAAATAGTTTGCCATTTCCTTTCCCTGGGACGTTCTTTGAGCTTCTAGTGCCAGATTATAATTTTCACTATTCCCGGACAATTTGCTGAAGGCTACTCTAAATTCAATAACACTGCCCTACCTAATGATTTTCTTTTTCTTTCATTCTTTAGTTCAATTTCCCACACAATGAAGATCAATATGTCTCACTATTAAAAAATGCCATAACAGATGTGTCTTGATTTTGGACCTAGAATTGCTGTAGCTCTTTTGCTATGTGTCCCACAATTTATTTAAACCCAGCCCTATTATTTCCTACCCTAGGTATGTTAGATGTGCAACTGTGCAAATTCTGGAAATCGTAATCCAGTACATCTGGAGATGAAAAGATTGGGGAACATTGAAGTACAATCTTTCTCATTTTTGATTTTATTTGTGCTATATGCCAAGCAGATTCTATTACTCTTGCTTGCCAAAATCTGAGATAGTGGTCAGAACAAACAAAAATAAACTAGCTTTAAAAGGTAAAGGTTCCCCTCACACATATGTGCGAGTCATTCCTGACTCTAGGGGGCAGTGCTCATCTCCGTTTCTTAGCCACTGAGCCACTGCATCCCTCCTAGCTTAGCTTAGCTCTACACAATATGCAGGTGTTGCAGGGACATACCTCATATTCAAGGGCAAGATCAGTATGATCGTCAATGTCCACTTTCGCCATCAGAATCTTCCCCTCATGTTTGGACACGACCTTTTCTAGTCTGGGACCCAGGATTTTGCAGGGACCACACCATCTCAGAACAAAGAAAGACAGAGTTTAATGAGGAAAAAGCAATGTTAACAGTTTTTTTTTTTTAAAAAAAAGATACTTCCCAAAGGATAAAGATAAGCATGTGCCTTTAAGAAGAAGCCTCTGAATACTGAAGTACCAGGTTTAATAGTGATGCCTGGATTGTTACATTAAGAGAGATGATATATGAGTCTGCATTTTGTTTGGTAGTCTATGTGCCAAGATTTAAAAGCTGCTGCTTACAAAATGATCAGAATATTTTACTGCAGGGCATTCGTAAGCCTCTTGCATATTGTTTATGCTAAGGGTAAATAAAAGCAGCAAACCCCCCCACTACATTTACCAAAACCATTTCAGAATCTCATGAATCTAGCCAACTCACATTCCTTTCCAAAAAGCGGAAAACTATATTAAAGAGGGCACACGAAGTTGACATCCAAACTAACAAGGCAGCTCATAATCTTGAACTTACTATATATCAGGGTGTCTTTCTCTGCACATGTACAGACCAATGAAAGAAGAGCATCATCCATGATCACGTGCAAAGATCTTGTCTATTTGTTTTATGGTGTATACTTTGCAGTAATTTGTTCCCAAATATTGTACAACAGGCAAAATAGACATTTGAACAAGGACAAGGGACAAGGTTCATATTTTCTATACAAATTTGTCTGTTTGAAAGAGAGTTTAAGCCATCATGTTCTTAGTTACAGCTAATGTAGTTTATACAATTAACTTTTCGTAATGGGAAGTCTTTCACACATGTTATAAAAAAAATCAACAAGAAATTAAAATATGATGCTTAATTGCTGGTCAGATGATTTTTTGTTCTGATTTTTACATACTAGAACTTGTTTTTTGCTGCAGCTATTTTGATCTTACATCATTGAAACATTGTATGATAAATCAGTTCTTGCTAAAAAAAAATTTCAGTATCACAACAGCATTTACAATTTCTTGTAACTCTGGAAACTGGTACCATATTACAGGATGCTTTAGCATACTGAGCCACTATTGATGTTTTCAGATGTTACAGCCACAGAAGGGTGTTGTGAGAACATGCATTCAGCAGTTAGGCCATTACATTGTTTCAAAGAATGAAAAAAGAAAGCCCTTAAGGGAACCATAAAATGGTTTCAGTATATTATATATGGAGCAAAATAATACAGATGTTAATAAGGTTATCTCAAAAAAAAACCCACCCCAAATCAATATTCCATTATCTATGGCAGTGGTTCCCAAACTTGGCAACTTTAAGACTTGTGGACTTCAACTCCCAGAATTCTCCAGCCAGCAAGCTGGCTCCGTAAGCAAGCTGGCTGGAGAATTCTAGGAGTTGAAGTCCACAAGTCTTAAAGTTGCCAAGTTTGGGAACCACTGATCTATGCCCATGCCCATCAATAAAAAAAATTCTGGAGCAACACAGAACTGCAAGAAAGTATATCATTTAAATAATTTCACAGAAGTCTGTAGAGTGAATTTAGTGCTACGAAATAATCTTAGTTATCATCCCACTTTTGTGTGTGCTATTCAAATTGCCACTCCCTCAATAAATGCGTAAGACTGATAAGGCAGAAAACTGCTGAATATAATTCACCATTCTATTGTAGGAATTGTAGTCCAGCAGCCAAGTAGGGAAAGAAAAACAGTTTAAAATGGGATGATATATGTAGTTTACCTTTACTGCAAGGACTCTGAAACTGAAGTACTTCCTGATTTGACTTTTTTTTTAATGTTTTCGGTGTCAGCTGTACAATGGAATTTAGAAATCAAGAGAGCAGAAAATGTATGTGAAAATTAAAAGGTACCTATTCCTGCTGGTGTTCTGAAATTTCTTTGTATGGCTTTAAAAAAATATCTTATGTGGAAAAGGATACATCTTTTGCCCATTATCTTCAACATGGTTTCTATCCCATTCTACTACACTTACTTCATTTCACATCATCTCATCTTTTTCCGTATCCTTGTTTGTTTATATTTAGAAATAGGAAGGAGGAAACAACCGGTAAATGTTTCAAGCTTCTAATAATCAGAGATGAGGATTATATTCCCGTAAAGAAAGGCACACGAGATTGCATTATAAAAGCATCTGTATCTTTTCCTCCATTAATTGGTAGAACGATATCCAAGCAATAGTGCCTTACTTTTATTGATTAGCTAATGCTCTGCTAACTTGTATCTGCCTATGCTTTGATGAAAGCAAGTACCAATAAACTAAATATGTAGCTTCTTTTTCAAACTATTGAAGAGCATCAAGGGCTTTTTTTCAATGTTTCATGAGAAAAAGAATTGTAAGATGACATTTAAAATGTTAACTCTACTCAAATGGGTAGAAGAGGGGTCCCCAAACTCCAGGCCGGAGCCTGTTTGAAACCAGGACATGCGAGTGTTGGCCAAGTGCATGTGCACACAAAGTTCCACTCAAGCTAGTGTCGGGCCCTTGAACTTGTGCATGAAGCTCCACTGGTGCAAGTGGCAACCTCTTGTGCTAGCGCACAAAGTTCCACTTGAGAGCGCGGGGAACTCATGTGCAGAGTTCCATTTGCTCAAACGGAGCTTCATGCATGAGCATTCTCCACTCACTTGAGTGAAACTTTGTGCGCAAACACAAGTGCCCCAGCTCACACAAATGGAGTTTTGTGCATGAGTGCAAGCACACTCCACACATGCATGAAGCTCCACTCACATAAGGGGCAGATACTTGTGCTTCCCCATGAAGCTTGACTCGACCGAGTAGAGAATGCTCATGCTTGAAGAACCATTCATGCAAATGGAGCTTTATGTACAAACACAAGCACCCTCTGCTCAAGCACCCACCACTCATGCAAATGGAGCTTCGTGCACAAGCCAAAGGCCCACTGTTCATGTGGAGCTTTGTGCGTAAGTGGAGGATGCTTGCACTCCTGTGTAAAGTTCCATTTGTGCAAGCAGTGAGCCCTTGCATTCTGCACAAGCAGAGAGTATTTGAGCAGAGGTCACTTGGGCACGAAACTCCATTTGCACATGAGCAACCTCCACTCCTGCGAGTGGAGCTTCGTGTGAAAGCACAAGGGTCCGCCGCTTGCACAAATAGAGCTGTGTGTGCAAGCACAAGCACCCTCTGTTCAAGCACTCTCCACTCGCACAAATTGAGCTGTGTGTGCAAACACAAGGGCCCACCCCTCGCATGAATGGAGCTTCATTCATGAATGGAGGGTGCTTGCACTGCTGCACAAAGCTCCATTCGCCCGAGTAATGGGCCCTTGCACTCATGCACAAAGCTCCACTTGTGCGAATGGAGGGCGCTTGTGTTTGCAATTCAAAGTTCAGTTTACATGAGCGCTCACATGCAAAGCTCTATTCAAACCAATGAAGCTTCATGTCCGAGTGCCCTCAACTTGCAAGAGTGAAGCATCAGGTATGAGCACAAGGGTGGAGTAGAGGGTCACACATTCACCGCTCACACCAACAAAGCTGTGGGTGTGTCACTGACATGCCCCACCTACGCCGAGCACCAAGGTGGAAAAGTTGAGGACCGCTGGTTTAGAATGTTATATTGCCAAGTAAGAATAAAGTAGGATATAAACAGTAATCAACCCGTATAGCTTTTCAGTTATCCTATGGCATCTACAGTAGGTAACCAGAGACAGCCTGTATTAGCTAGCCCATGTAGGGCCAAAACCCTCATTCTACATAGTTTATAATGCGTACATAGCACACTAAGGATTTTAACAGCTTTGTAACAAAGACATATACACCATACTTACTGGGCGTGGAAGTCTATCACCACGGGTTTTTCACTTTTCAAAACTCTGTCTTGGAAGTCATTCTCATCCTGGACATTAAAAGTATGCCAACAGACCTGAGTAGTAGAAAATGTCCTAGTCTGTGAATGCATGGCAGGAGAAGCAAAGGAAGTACACCAAGGTCTCCTACATGGCAGAGCTGAAACTCTGTACAGAAGCAATGAAGGTCTGGGATGAAACACTGGCGTGAGACGCTTGACCGGAATAGACAACAATGATCTGAAGAGATTTTGGGCCATCTAGGAAAAAGACAAAAAAAAAAAGTTATAAGGAGCAAGCGGTGACCCTAAAAACTCCCTATATTTTCACTGCCTTCTAGCCTACCCATTCTGTTGTTGCTTTGATCCCTTCCCAACGGATTTCAAAAGTTCCTGCAATTCAGTGTACTTTATACATGCCATGTACTGCTTAAAATATGCCAGTATTTTTATTTTATTTTTGCGGGCACATCTATACATTGGGCAAAGAAAGAACTGTCAAGTCCTTTCCTCTAGCTTGTTATCTCACATTTCTCCATTTGGAATATATACTATGGTCTGCCTAGTTTTATTATCAAATGGCAAAAGCTAGATTCCATACTAAAATTGTTAAGGAAAAAAAAGTGACTTTAATTTTATGAATCATGAACCAGCCTTTAAAGCACTATAGAGGTTTGTCAAGAACTCCAGATTCTCTGAGCTGCAACACATTGGTTTATTTTCTAAGCCTATCAACAAGTGGTGGGTTGCAGGAGGTACGCCCCGGTATAGGCGTACCGGAGCCTGCCCGGAAGACAGGGTACCGTTCTGGTACGGTGCTCCAGAGGGCCCACCCACACTCCCGTGCTCCCTACCTGTCTTTAAAATTTTTGGTGCTTCCGCACACAGTGCATACAGTGCCTGCGAGATGCTCCGCTAAGCAGCTGGAGTGTCGTGGAGGCGGCGCTGGACAGTAAGACAGATGTGCACACCGCACATGTTCATGTGGAGGACGCCGGGCCCTGATGCAACTGTAGCGGTTGCAACGGGATCCGGAACCCACCACTGCTATCAAATTAATTGCTCTTGGTCTAAGCTGGGAGTAAATCATTTGTTTTGATTTGCTGTTCCTTTTACCTGAAAGCAAGGCCTTCTGTCCTGGACGTCATGGTTCCAGTATATTATTGAAATATACTTATTGACATCATAATACAAATAGCTTTCTTTTTAAATAGCACATCATTATTATTATATCAACTGAGTATCACAGTGAAGCTAAATTATTTACAATTTTAATTATAAATAATGGATAAGGTATAATAAGTGATACTAAACAACTTGCCAATGCCATTCAAAGAGATTCAGTTACAATATATTCTGTCTGATGGACAACCATAACACAGTTGTTTTGTAACTGTCTATAAAATATTGATAAGAGACTTGAAAGAAATATCACAGCCAGAATGCATGGCTATGATATTAATATTGCAGCACTTTTATACTCATATTAGACTCATATCTAGACCACATCACAATTTTGTTAACAGCATTATCCCACAACAGCAAACTACTTTCATACAAACTAGAAATATAAAGGAAGAAGGCAGAATGGCAGATACAGTACTCTTTAAACATAGTGGATTGTTGAAGGGTTTGGGAGAGAAGATGGAGTATCTGTTTTAAAATTCATTTCCTCCAAAATTTCACATTTTATGAATCATTTTACATTCAAAATCAACATCTTCAAAATTTACTAACGTTTTCAGGAAAACTATATATATATATATATAATTATATATAACTATATATATATATAACTATATATAACTATATATATATAACTATATATAACTATATATAACTATATATATATAAATAACTATATATAACTATATATAACTATATATAACTATATATAACTATATATAACTATATATAA